GGGATTTCCCCTCCCCCGGGACCTCACAGAAATGCTCAGCAAATCTGCAAACCTGTTCCTGGGGGTCGGAGATTGGATCACCGTTCTTTCCCCTAATGATGGTAATAGGTGTGGCGCTGCAGGTTACTTTTTTGATAAAATTAGAGAGCGATTTGTGATCGCAGGCCATTAAGGCAGACTCCATCTCCTCAGCAACCCGCGACCACCACCCATCCTTGCAGCACCTCACGGCTCTCCGAACCTCCGAGCGAAGGCTGCGGTAAGCCTCCTCATTCTCTGACGTGGGATGCTGTACACAATGAGAGTGGGCCTGTCGCTTTTTCTCAGCCAGCCTGAACACCTCTTCTGTCAGCCAGGGTCTCTGGGGAGGTCTGGACCGTGTACCCAAAGCAGCCATTGCAGCTGCATGAGTCACAGTCCTGAACCTCGCCCATTTCCCATCGACATCAGGAGGAGTGGGGGACGATACCAACCTCAGCCGCAAGCGATGATCAAATTCTCGAAACTTTCATCAGCTAGCTGAGACCAGGCCACCTTAGGTTGGAATGGGGTCCTGGGTGTACACCCACCACCGGAGTGGAAGAATGGCATCTTACAGATGACTAGTCGATGGTCAGTGGGCAGATCAGCTCCACGGTAGGTCCTGGTGTCAAGGACATGGGCTCACATCCGCCACTCCCTGTTGTTTGGCAAATTACCCCACCACCACCACCAAGAGGAGGGAGTCACCCACACTTTACCCTGTGGGTCTCTGTGTGAGTCTATGGGTCTCTGTGTGAGGCTATGGGTCTCTGTGTGAGTCTGTGGGTCTCTGTGTGAGTCTATGAGTCTCTGTGTGAGTCTATGGGTCTCTGTGTGAGTCTGTGGGTCTCTGTGTGAGTCTGTGGGTCTCTGTGTGAGTCTATGAGTCTCTGTGTGAGTCTATGGGTCTCTGTGTGAGTCTGTGGGTCTCTGTGTGGTGAGTCTGTGGGTCTCTGTGTGAGTCTATGGGTCTCTGTGTGAGGCTATGGGTCTCTGTGTGAGTCTGTGGGTCTCTGTGTGAGTCTATGAGTCTCTGTGTGAGTCTATGGGTCTCTCTGTGAGTCTGTGGGTCTCTGTGTGGTGAGTCTGTGGGTCTCTGTGTGAGTCTATGGGTCTCTGTGTGAGTCTGTGTGTCTCTGTGTGAGTCTATGGGTCTCTGTGAGAGTCTGTGGGTCTCTGTGTGAGTCTGTGGGTCTCTGTGTGAGTCTGTGGGTCTCTGTGCGAGTCTGTGGGTCTCTGTGTGAGTCTATGGGTCTCTGTGTGAGTCTATGAGTCTCTGTGTGAGTCTATGGGTCTCTGTGTGAGTCTGTGGGTCTCTGTGTGAGTCTGTGGGTCTCTGTGTGAGTCTGTGGGTCTCTGTGTGAGTCTGTGGGTATCTGTGTGAGTCTGTGGGTCTCTGTGTGGGTCTCTGTGTGAGTCTGTGGGTCTCTGTGTGAGTCTGTGGGTCTCTGTGTGAGTCTATGAGTCTCTGTGTGAGTCTATGGGTCTCTGTGTGAGTCTGTGGGTCTCTGTGTGAGTCTGTGGGTCTCTGTGTGAGTCTGTGGGTCTCTGTGTGAGTCTGTGGGTCTCTGTGTGAGTCTGTGGGTCTCTGTGTGGGTCTCTGTGTGAGTCTGTGGGTCTCTGTGTGAGTCTGTGGGTCTCTGTGTGAGTCTATGAGTCTCTATGTGAGTCTATGAGTCTCTGTGTGAGTCTGTGGGTCTCTGTGTGAGTCTGTGGGTCTCTGTGTGAGTCTGTGGGTCTCTGTGTGGGTCTCTGTGTGAGTCTGTGGGTCTCTGTGTGAGTCTGTGGGTCTCTGTGTGAGTCTATGAGTCTCTATGTGAGTCTATGAGTCTCTGTGTGAGTCTGTGGGTCTCTGTGTGAGTCTGTGGGTCTCTGTGTGAGTCTGTGGGTCTCTGTGTGAGTCTGTGGGTCTCTGTGTGAGTCTATGGGTCTCTGTGTGAGTCTGTGGGTCTCTGTGTGAGTCTATGAGTCTCTATGTGAGTCTATGAGTCTCTGTGTGAGTCTGTGGGTCTCTGTGTGAGTCTGTGGGTCTCTGTGTGAGTCTGTGGGTCTCTGTGTGAGTCTGTGGGTCTCTGTGTGAGTCTATGGGTCTCTATGCGAGTCTATGGGTCTCTGTGTGAGGCGATGTGTCTCTGTGTGAGTCTGTGGGTCTCTGTGTGAGTCTGTGTGTCTCTGTGTGAGTCGATGTGTCTCTGTGTGAGTCTGTGGGTCTCTGTGTGAGTCTGTGTGTCTCTGTGTGAGTCGATGTGTCTCTGTGTGAGTCTGTGGGTCTCTGTGTGAGTCTGTGTGTCTCTGTGTGAGTCTATGGGTCTCTGTGTGAGTCTGTGGGTCTCTGTGTGAGTCTGTGTGTCTCTGTGTGAGTCTGTGGGTCTCTGTGTGAGTCTGTGTGTCTCTGTGTGAGTCTATGGGTCTCTGTGTGAGTCTGTGGGTCTCTGTGTGAGTCTGTGTGTCTCTGTGTGAGTCTGTGGGTCTCTGTGTGAGTCTATGGGTCTCTATGCGAGTCTATGGGTCTCTGTGTGAGTCTGTGTGTCTCTGTGTGAGTCTATGGGTCTCTGTGTGAGTCGATGTGTCTCTGTGTGAGTCTATGGGTCTCTGTGTGAGTCTGTGTGTCTCTGTGTGAGTCTGTGTGTCTCACGTTCTGCTTCAATCTTCACCACGTGTGCCTCTTCCTTCATGTCTCCGGCTGGACTCGCACAAAGACAAAGGTCCCCTGTGTAGCCTTGACCAGACTCTGGGGGCAAGTGCACTCTGAATACACACGCGGAGACACAGAGACTCACACAGAGACACACAGAGACACACACAGAGACTCACACAGAGACACACACAGAGACACCCAGAGAGACACACAGAGACACACACACAGAGAGACACAGAGACACACACAGAGACTCACACAGAGACACACACAGAGACACCCAGAGAGACACACAGAGACACACACAGAGACACCCAGAGAGACACACACAGAGATACACACACAGAGACACACAGAGAGACACAGAGACACACACAGAGACTCACACAGAGACACACACAGAGACACCCAGAGAGACACACAGAGACACACACACACAGAGACACAGAGACACACACAGAGACTCACACAGAGACACACACAGAGACACCCAGAGAGACACACAGAGACACACACACAGAGACACACAGAGACACACAGAGACACACACAGAGAGAGAGACACACAGAGACACACAGAGACACAAACAGAGAGACACACAGAGACTCACAGAGAGAGACACACAGAGACACAAACAGAAAGACACACAGAGACACACAGAGACTCACAGAGAGACACACAGAGAGAGACACACACTAAGACAGACACAGAGACAGACACAGTGAGACACAGACACGGAAAGAGACCCACAGAGACACACAGAGACCCACAGAGACACACAGAGACACACACAGAGACACACAGACACACACAGAGACACACACAGACAGACAACTGTCTTCGTGTCTCTGTCACGCCGTGTCTCACTCTGGTGTCCTTGTACTCTTACCTTCGTGTCTCTGTCTCACTCCCTGTGTCTCTGTGTGTGTCTCTGTCTCTCTGTGTGTGTCTCACTCCCTGTCTCTGTCTCTGTGTCTCTCTGTCTCTGTGTGTGTCTCTGTGTGTCTCTTTGTCTCTGTGTCTCTGTGTGTGTCTCTGTGTGTCTCTCTGTCTCTGTGTCTGTCTCTGTGTGTCTCTCTGTGTGTCTCTGTGTCTCTCTCTCTGTGTCTCTGTGTGTGTCTCTGTCTCTGTGTGTCTCTCTGTGTGTCTCTGTGTCTCTCTCTGTGTGTCTCTGTGTGTGTCTCTGTCTCTGTGTGTCTCTCTGTGTGTCTCTGTCTCTGTGTGCGTCTCTCTGTCTCCGTGTCTGTCTCTGTGTCTATGTGTGTGTCTCTCTGTCTCTGTGTGTCTCTGTGTGTCTATGTGTGTGTCTCTGTGTGTCTCTGTGTGTGTCTCTGTGCGTGTCTCTGTGTGTGTCTCTGTCTCTGTCTCTGTGTGTATCTCTGTCTCTGTGTGTCTCTCTGTGTGTCTCTGTGTGTGTGTCTCTGTCTGTGTCTGTCTCTGTGTGTCTCTCTGTCTCTGTGTGTCTCTGTGTCTCTGTGTGTGTCTCTGTGTGTCTCTCTGTGTGTCTCTGTGTGTGTCTCTCTGTGTGTCTCTCCGTGTGTCTCTCTCCACTTGGACTCGCTTCTCACAAGAGAGCGGCAAGAAGCCGGCCAAGACGCGAATCGCAATTACCTCGCATCTTGCCCCTCCCCCCCCTCCCCCCCCTCTCACCCCTCCCCCCTCCCCCTCCCCCCCTCACCCCTCCCCCTGTCCCTCCTCTCACCCCTCTCCCCCCTCCCCCTCTCACCCTCCCCCCTGTCCCTCCCCCCTGTCCCTCCCCCTCCCCCCTCCCCCTCCCCCCTCACCCCTCCCCCTGTCCCTCCTCTCACCCCTCTCCCCCCTCCCCCTCTCCCCCCTCCCCCTGTCCCTCCCCCCCCTCCTCTCCCCCCTCTCCTCTCCCCCCTCCCCCTGTCCCTCCCCCCCCTCCCCTTGTCACCCCACCCCCCTCTCACCCCTCCCCCCTCCCCCTCCCCTCCCCCCTCTCACCCCCCCCCTCTGCCCCTCCCCCCTCACCCCTCCCCCTGTCCCTCCTCTCACCCCTCTCCCCCCTCCCCCTCTCACCCCTCCCCCCTGTCCCTCCCCCTCCCCCCTCTCCCCCCTCCCCCTCTCCCCCCTCCCCCTGTCCCTCCCCCTCCCCCCCCTCCTCTCCCCCCTCTCCTCTCCCCCCTCCCCCTGTCCCTCCCCCCCCTCCCCTTGTCACCCCTCCCCCCTCCCCCTCTCACCCCACCCCCCTCTCACCCCTCCCCCCCCTCCCCCCTCTCACCCCCCTCACCCCTCTCACCCCTCCCTCTATCTCTGCCCCTCCCCCAGCCCCTCCCCCTGCCCCTCCCCCCGCCCCGCCCCTCCCGTCGCTCAGAACGCGTTTCGCTTTACGCGCCTCGCGCGCCCCGTAGCTCGCGCAGCAGCTGCAGCTGGGCACGGTGAGAGGGGTGGTGATGGTGATGATGGTGTAGTGGTGGTGATGGTGTAGTGGTGTGGTGTGATGTGGTGATGATGGTGTGATGTGGTGGTGTGTGGTGTGGTGTAGTGTGGTGTGGTGTGATGTGGTGTGGTGGTGTGGTGATGTAGTGTGATGGTGATGATGGTGTGGTGGTCTAGTGGTGGGGTAGTGTGATGTCGAGATGTGGTGATGGTGTAGTGGTGTGGTAGTGGTGGGGTAGTGTGATGTGGGGTGGTGTGATGTGGTGTAATGTGGTGGTGTGGTGGTGATGGTGTGGTGATGGTGTAGTGGTGATGGTGGTGTAGTGGTGTGGTGGTGGTGATGGTGTGGTGGGGTAGTGTGATGTGGGGTGGTGGTGATGGTGGTGATGATGTAGAGATGTGGTGGTGTAGTGTGATGTGGTGATGATGGTGTAGTGATGTGGTAGTGTGATGGTGTAGTGTGATGTGATGTGGTGGTGATGGTGTAGTGATGATGTAGTGATGTAGTAATGTGGTGGTGTGGTGTGGTCATGATGTGGTGATGTGGTGTGGTGTGGTGATTATGTAGTGTGATGTAGTGATGTAATACTGTGGTGGTGTAGTGATGTATTGATGTGATGTGGTGATGTGGTGATTATGTAGTGTGATGTAGTGATGTAATACTGTGGTGATGTAGTGATGTATTGATGTGATGTAGTGATGTGGTGGTGTGGTGATGATGTAGTGTGATGTAGTGATGTAATAATGTGGTGATGTGGTGATGTAGTGATGTATTGATGTGATGTAGTGATGTGATGTAGTGAAGTGCTGATGTAAAACCTCGGAGATCGAACGCACCACAACTCGGAACAATTCGGTGTTCGAACGATATTTCCGAAAAAAAATTTTGCCCTGGAAACCGAACTAAATTCGGAGGTCGAACGCGAAATTGCAACTTGAAACGACCCGTCCGGCTGAGACGCGCACGTTTCACCAGTCGTGTACGTCGCTTGCCGCCACACAAAAGGTTTTTTAGCGTGAGAGAGGCTCCCTAAACGCGTGGTGTAGTTACCCACAAAGCAACGCTCCTTAACGCTTGGGTTTTTTCGGTAAATGTCGATGTAAAGCTTCTTTCGTGACTGCAGGGATTCATCTTCTTGGTTCTTTCGGTAAAGTCATCACGTAGAAGGGAAGTAACAAAATAATAAAAATAAAACACAATAAAATTTCGATTTAAAGCTTTCGTGACTGCAGGGATTCATCTTCTTGGTTCTTTCGGTAAAGTCGCGTAGAATGGAAATAATAAAATAAGAAAAAATAAAACATAATAAAATTTCGATTTAAAGCTTTCGTGACTGCAGGGATTCATCTTCTTGGTTCTTTCGGTAAAGTCACGTAGAAGGGACATAATAAAATAATACAAATTAAACAATTCTCAAGACGTTTCGGCCAGACATGTTGTTCACCTGAGGACGGCTGCTTGCGTTGTGGCCGAAACGTCGTGAGAATTATTTTATTATGTTTTAGTTTTATTATTTTATTACTTCCCTACTACGTGACTTTACCGAAAAAACCAAGAAGTTTTTTCGGTAAAGTCACCATGTAGCAGAGGTCGCAAACGGGTTTTCATTCCTTACCCGTACCCGGCCGCACCAGTGTCGCAAACGGGTACGGCCGTACCCGGCCGTACCCGTACCCTACCCGTACTTGGCCGGGTACGGGTATCGGGTACCTGATTGCGACCTCTGGGATGAAGCCATGTTGCAGGCGCGGGTGGGTTGATTCTAGGAACTTGAATTGTGAGAAGAGACAAGACGTTGGGAAATGAGTGATAAACGGTGACTCACCAGTGACTCACGGCCTACCCGTACCCGGCCGCACCAGGGTCGCAAACGGCTACCCGTACCCGGCCGGGTACGGGTAGCCGGGTATCGGGTAGGATACGGGTATCGGGTACCCGGTTGCGACCTCTGCCATGTAGGTAAAAAATACAATTAAAATTAATAAAAGTAAAATAAAAATCACGACGTTTCGGAGGCAACACAAGCTTCCGTCTTCAGGTGGAACCGTCACAGCACGCTTGCTGTATCAAGTAAATCATATTTTGCTACTGGCAAATGAGGTTCCAATGGTGTAAATGCTTACCCCGACCTCTCATACTCTGATGGTGCGTTGTCTTTGAGTTGTGCGCCTTTTGGTGTCATCTGGTCCAACACCATGTGAGACTCGGCTCTAAGGAAAGCTGTCTCGGGTGTGGACCAATCAACTTCAAGGACAGTGCATACATTATTAGAGTTATGTTTTTTGTTTGCATTACGACTGCAGGTATTGTGGTCAATGCAAACATGACTCCTTGTAAAAAAGGTGTCAGTTTTGTTGCCAGATAGAAGGGTAAAAAAATACAATTATCATATTTCGATTTAAAGCTTTCGTGACTGCAGGGATTCATCTTCTTGGTTCTTTCGGTAAAGTCACGTAGAAGGGAAGTAATAAAATAATAAAAATAAAACATAATAAAATAATTCTCACGACGTTTCGGCCACAACGCAACCAGCCGTCCTCAGGTGGAGAACAGGTCTGTCGGGGAGACAGCGTCGTCCTTACCCGACAGACCTGGTCTTCACCTGAGGACGGCTGCTTGCATTGTGGCCCAAACGTCGTGAGAATTATTTTATTATGTTTTATTATTTTATTACTTCCCTTCTACGTGACTTTGCCGAAAGAACCAAAAAGAAGAATTATCATATTTTTCTACTTTTCTACTGGCAAATGAGGTGCCAATGAAAAAATAATATTAGGGGCCTAACTTGGCTCCTCCCACCCTCAACCAGTATATATACAAGGACTGTTTTCTTGGAATTTCTCATTTACTTGATGCAGCAGTCGCGCTGTGACGGTTCCACCTGAAGACGGAAGCTTGTGTTGCCTCCGAAACGTCGTGATTTTTATTTTACTTTTATTTTAATTTTATGTTTTACCTACGTGACTTTACCGAAACAACCTAAGAGTATGAATCGTTGCAGTCACGAAAGCTTCAAATCTAGAATCATCGTTCTTTAACTTGTTTGTTAATTTCCTTTACAGGCAGTCCCCTCTGCTTACGATGGAGATGCGTTACGACTACCCCATCGTAAGTCGAAAAAGATCGTAAGTCCAAGATGGCCCAGCCTACCCAGGAGTCTTAAAGAACGGTGATAATTTAGCAAAACAGAGCAATTTACAATACCGTACTGTATAAACGATATAATGTATGTATTTATTAATTACAATACCGTATTGCACCGTAGAATGTCAAGTAAAAAAACAACAAGGTAAATTCTTAGCCTACCTGTATGAACTGCAATTTAATAGAAAGTTTTTTCAGGAAACAATCCCATCTGCTGTAGAAACTTTTAACATGCATTGAATCGTGGTAACCCTAAAATGAAATCGCTAAAGCTACGTATCGTACATGCATTGAACGTATCGTAGCGTATCATATTGTACTGTAGTCACCAAGATTCTGAAACACAAAAACACAGAAAAAAATACACGCGCTAACACCGTCCACCGCTGGTGAGAGTGAGGAGGCATCACACAAGGCGGGGGATGCCGTACACTCCGGCAGCAATTTTGTCGCATCGTAAGATCAAAATATCGTAAGTCGGACTATCGTAACTCGGGGACTATCTGTACTTGTGTTTTTAAATCCTTTATATTAAGTTCACTTGCTTGCTTGCGTGCTTGCTTACGACCGTGCAAACCTTTCGGTCGTTTTTAAACCCACTTCCCGTGATCCAATCGAGCTGACATTTTCCACACAGACTCGTTGTGCGAGATAATTATTGTTCGTGAAAACATTTTTCAAAAATGTTACACTGTTTAGGGAAAACAATTTAAATATTTAATTACCAATTGCTTAATACTGGCAGACAATCATCTGACCCATAGGTGGCAGCCATCTCAAGGCAGAGGACGAGAGGACTCTAGCCGCCACGCATATAAAGGATTTAGAGTGAAAAACTTTGTTTTTACGGGTTATACTTATTTTGGTGTCTATCCGTACACAATGTCTCCTAAGAAAGTTGGTGGTAGCGAGAAGCCGAAAAGGAAAGTTGTGAGAACCACGATAGAATTAAGAAAAGAGATCATTGCAAAGGCAGAGCGAGGTGTACGTGTGACCCAGATCTCCAAACAGTACGGTATGCCGAAATCGACGATTTGCACGATGCTGAAAAATAAAGAAGCCATCAAAGAGGCTAATGTGGCAAAAGGAGTGTCATCTCTATCCAAGCAAAGAACGAAGGCGATCGAGGAGGTTGAGAAAGTGCTGTTGATGTGGATCAACGAAAAGGAGTTGGCGGGCGATAGCATTTCAGAGGCTGTGATATGTGAGAAGGCCAAACAGTTGCATTCCGACATCCTCCAAAACACCCCAGGAACGAGTGACGATGCGGGTCCTGGTGAAATGTTCAAGGCTAGCCGAGGATGGTTTGATAATTTTAAAAAGAGAAGTGGCATACAGAGCGTCGTTAGGCACGTCGGGGAGGGTGTCTGTGCCCGTAGAGAAGGTGGCAAGAATTTTGTTGGGGAATTTCAAGAGTTTGTCGTGAAGGCCGAGGGCTTTCTTCCTCCTCAACACCTTCCACTCAAGTCATTGGCTCTCCTCACTACAGGTAAAGTGAAGTTTAATGTTCATTCCGTATATTTATTCATTTATTCCATTTATTGTGTCTGGCCGAAACGTCTTGAGAATTGTTGTATTGTTTAATTTGTATTATTTTATTATTTCCCTTCTACGTGACTTTACCGAAAGAACCAAGAAGATGAATCCCTGCAGTCACGAAAGAAGCTTTACATCGAAATTTACCGAAAAAACCCAAGAGTTAAGGAGCGTTGCTTTGTGGGTGCGATTTTATGCATGTGATTACCGTAAACTTCGTGTAAAAACGCTTTGTGACGAGAGATTTCTTGTGTCTGGAACCAATTCATGTCATTTGCATTTATTGTTACGGGGGAAATGAATTCGGCGTTCGAACAAATCGGTGTTCGAATGGCCTTCTGGAACCAATTAAGTTCGATCTCCGGGGTAACACTGTATAGATGGTGATGTAGTGATGTAGTACTGTGGTGATGTAGTGATATGGTGATGTGGTGATGTGTAGTGTGGTGATGTAGTGATGTAGTACTGTGGTGGTGTGGTGATGTAGTGATGTAGTACTGTGGTGATGTGGTGATGTAGTGATGTAGTACTGTGGTGATGTGGTGATGTGGTGATGTGTACTGTGGTGATGTAGTGATGTAGTGACGTAGTGGTGTGGTGATGTGGTGATGTGTACTGTAGTACTGTGGTGATGTAGTGATGTAGTACTGTGGTGATGTAGTGATATGGTGGTGTGGTGATGTGGTGATGTAATGGTGAGTTAGTGATGTGGTGATGTGTACGTGGTGGTGTGGTACAACAACGGGCAAACACTTTTGTGCCCTCGCCGCTGTTCCCTCTCGAACGTAGGAACTCGCGCGGTCGAAAAGGGACCGTTTTCCGACGCCGACGCCAACGCGGTGCAAGCGCTGAACCGCCGAAAAATCCCTCCCCCGGCCAGCCACGTGCTCAGCCCCCCCCCTCCCCCACCACCGCACCTGCGTCCTACAAACCCACATCGCCCACGTCCGGGCGATGCGGATCGCCCGCTGCCGCCTCCACCGCCGTCGTTACCTCTCGAAGAAGAACACTACGGAGCGCCGAGAGGATCGTCCGTAACGATGAGCGCCACGCACGCCGCGAACGGCGACGCCGCCGCCGCAGTCGCCGTCGGCAAAAAACGCCAACGGAGGAGCATCAACCTCGGGGTGAAGCTGGAGGTCGTGAAGCGATTCGAGGCGGGGCAGAAGGTGGCCGCCATCGCCCAGGCGCTGGGCCTGCCCGCCAGCTCGGCGCGATCCATCTGCGTGAACGCCGGCAAGATCCTGGAGTCGGCGCAGAACGCGGCGCCGCTGACCGCCACCAAGATCTTCCGGAGCCGCTCGGCCGTCCTGGAGAACATGGAGAGGCTCCTCGGGGTGTGGATCGAGGACCAGAGTCAGCGGGGCGCGGCGCTGAGCGCCCCCGCCGTGCAGGAGAAAGCGAGGAGCCTCTTCGAGGACCTCCGGCAGATGAGCGGCGAGGGCGGCGAGACGTTCGGCGCGAGCCGCGGGTGGTTCGAGCGCTTCAAGAAACGCAGCGGCCTGGGCAGCCTGAACCCGCCGTGCGAGGCCGCGGGCGTCGATGGCGAGGCCGCGTCGGCGTCGGCGTCGTCGTCTGCCGGGTCCGCCGCCGGCTACCCCGACGTCCTGAGGGGCGTCATCGAAGAGGGGGGCTACGTGCCGGGCCAGGTGTTCAACGTGGACGAGACGGAGCTCTACTGGAAGCGGATGCCGGCGAGGACGTCCATCGCCGCCGAGGAGAAGACCGCCCCGGGCTTCAAGGCGGCCAAGGACCGCCTCACCCTCCTGCTGGCCGCCAACGCGTCGGGCGACCTCAAGCTCAAGCCCCTCCTCGTCTACCACTCGGAGACGCCGAGGGCCATCAAGGGCTGCCCCAAGGAGCACCTCCCCGTCGTCTGGCGCTCCAACAAGAGGGCCTGGGTGACCGAGACGGTCTTTCGCGAGTGGTTCGCGTCGCACTTCTGCCCGGCCGTCGAGGATTACTGCGGCCGCAGGGGCCTGCCGAACCGGGCCCTGCTCCTGCTGGACAGCGCCCCGGCCCACCCGGTCAACCTGGAGGAGCTGTCGGAGAACGTCCGCGTCGCCTTCCTGCCGCCCAGCACCACGGCGCTGCTGCAGCCCATGGACCAGGGCGTCGTCGCCGCCTTCAAGGCCTACTACCTGCGGCGAACCTTCGCCCGCCTCGCGGGGGACACGGCCGGCGGGCGGCGCTCGGCGAGGGACTTCTGGCGCGGCTACAACATCAGGGCGGCCGTCGACAACATCGCCGACGCGTGGCGGGAGGTGCGGCCGTCGGACGTGAACGCCGCGTGGCGCAAGATCTGGCCCCGGTGCGTCGTCGCACGCCCGGCGGGCTCGGGCCTTGCGGAGGAGGCGACGGAGGAGGTCCTGCGGGACATCGTGGGCCTGGCGAGGTCGGCCGGCCTGGACAACGTCGAGGAGTCGGACGTGGCCGAGCTGCTGGATTCGCACGGCGGCGAGCTGTCCAACGACGACCTGGTGGAGCTGCTGCAGCAACGTTCGGGCGAGGGGGGCGACGAGGGGGGGGCGGGAGGCGCGGAGGGGCAGCCCAGGCGGACGCTGAGCACGGCGCGTCTGTCGGAGGCGTTCGTTCACCTGGAGGCGGCGATGGACATCTTCAGGGAGGACGACCCCAACAGGGAGCGCAGCTTCAAGGTGAACCGGACGCTCGCCGGCGCCGTTCACTGCTACAAGGAGCTGTACAAGCAGAAGAAGAAATACGCGGCGAGACGGGCGTTGGCCAGGCTCGTTAAAAGCCCTCCAGGCAGTAACGCGGGAGGCGAGGAGAGCCAGCTACCTCCGCTTGCTACTCCTCCGCTTGCTCCTCCGCCTGTCATCAAACAAGAGCGGAGTCCAGGCCCTGGGGCAAGTCCTCAGCTGGCGGTGAAATGCGAAGACGTCTCGGTCGCCGAAGCAACCGGTGAGGCCTCTCAACTCGTTCCCTACCGCTGTCGGCGTCGGCTGATTTGGGTCGGTCGGGGCGGGTGGTGGTGGTGGTGTCATGGGCCTATACTTAATTTGGAGCTTTCGTGACTGCAGGAATGACTCTTTGGTTCTTTCGGTAAAGTGACGTATAAAGAGAAAATAATAACATAATACAAATAAAACATAAGAAGGTAATATATTATTATATATTATTTTATTATGTTTTATTTTAATTATTTTATTACTTCCCTTCTACGTGACTTTACCGAAAGAACCAAGAAGATGAATCCCTGCAGTCACGAAAGCTTTAAATCGAAAATAAAATAATTAATTAAATACTAGCATACGACGTTTCGACTGCAACACAAGCAATCGTCATCAGGTGTGAAATCCACAGCAAGAATAATTCTATATTTATTTATATTTCGATTTAAAGCTTTCGTGACTGCAGGGATTCATATTCTTGGTTCTTTCTGTAAAGTCATCACGTAGAAGGGAAATAATAAAATAATAATAAAACATAATAAAATGCAATTCTCACGACGTTTCGGCTACAACGCAAGCAGCCGTCCTCAGGTGAAGAACAGGTCTGTCGGAAAGACAGCGTCATTCACATCATCAACATCATCATCATCATTAACATCATCATCATCCTCATCATCATCATCAACAACATCATCAACATCATCTACATCATCAACATAATCATCTTTTTTTTTCGATTTAAAGCTTTCGTGACTGCAGG